TGCGTGTCCTTTACATCTTGCCCCTGTCTGCGGGCACATTTCTTTGATTATCTTGTCTGTTTGTCTAAGTCTTCGGCCTTGTGAAAAATGGGTCGTCTCTAGGCTTTGACAATCACTCCCGTCATTGTTATGACTTTCGAGTTCTGTCAAAGAGGGGCAACTGTAGACACCCCATTTTTGACCGGCCTTAAGACTCAAACGTCATCAATTGAGCGCTCGGTGATGGTGCATATTGTGCTCGTTTCGAGTTTCTGGGGTCTCGGCTGAGAGCCTTGCCTCTAGGCCTCGGAACTTTTTGTGCTTTGCCTCGGTTTGCAAACCAAGTTCTGTTTTCTCTTCCCGAAGGGAGGGAGAGGTCTTGTAGACCATCTCTCAGTGGCCGTAGGCTACTTTTCGGGGTCGTAGACCACTGTTCCCGTTTGGAGACCAGTTTTCGATTTTCGGAGCTGTCGGTCGTGTGCCTCAGTTCGGGACCACTTAACTTTCTCCGTTTGCTCCGGTTTTTGGCACACACCTTGTTTCCTCTCTCTAGAGGGACACTGTGGCCCGGGAGACCACCTTCGTGGTCGCACGCCACTTTCGATGCTTAACAGTCAGTTTTCGGGGCACCCGGCTGTGCGTTTTGGCCCCCGAACCCTCGTTTTGCATCCGTCTTGGTTCATTTTTGGCATAGACCCTATTTTCATTGTTTGGGAGGTGGTACAAGGGTGGGAGACCACCTTTTCTCCTTGGAGACCTCTTCTCTCTCCGCCAACCGATTTTCTTGTCGGGAAATTGATCTCCTTGTTTTTTGAGCCACATTTGCTAGTCTTCCGCCATACCACTGGCTTGCATTCAATGTGGAGACCACCAAATGAGGCTGCCGACCACCGTTCATCAGGTTGGACTTTTTGAATTGGTCGGCCGACCAGGGGAAGTGGTCGGCCGACCTCCTGAACTGGTCGGCCTACCTCCCTCAGTTTTGTCTCTGTGAGTTGTTGCCAGCGGTGCCAGCTGGAAGGCACAGACTGTATCCTCCATACACGTGTATGGAGGATCTTCAACTTTGTTTGGAGTCTCCAAGAAGCTTGAACCCTTTGATTTCTCTAGAAAAGAGGGCTTTCCCCTCCATATACCAGGTTCTGAATTTTTGGTTAAGGCATACAATATATCCCGCTCTATATCTCACTATTTGGTGCTCAAAAGTGTGTGTTCTTGACCCTTTTGTATCACACCTTATAGCCTAACACCTCCACCATTGTTACTGAGTTCTTTGAGGGTCTTGAGAGGTCTCTAAGGTTGAGTTTTTGGGTCCAGAGGCTGCTGGTTTTGCTGAGCTACAAGGGTAACTCCTTTTCCCCCTTTTTAAGCTCTATCTCGATCATTCTATTAGCCATACTTGCATTCATATTTAAGCTTTGTTGTCAACTAAAAAAAGTTTTTTTTTAAGGTCCTTGTGATGTTTGTTTAAGGCTCTTTTGGTGTTGAAGGTCATTTACACTCTTGCATGCTTGTTTTAGCCTTGTTTTGTGCCATGCCATAATGCATTCGAGCTAAGCTTTGCTTGGCCCTTTAGCCACCGAAATCCAGTGGATTTTCAGTGGTGAGAATGTGGTTTTGAGGGCCAAAATCAGAAAGGGGTGACCCTCTCTCTCCTTGTTTTGTTTTCAAGAATTTTTGGCCTTACAAAGGAGCCCTTATTTGCATGCTTCCAAGCCATGTTTCAGGCCATTTTTGATGAGTTTTAGGACCTGGATAGGCTCTTTCCAGAGCTTGTTTTGCCATGTTGGACGTTCATCTTGTATGTGTAGAATAACCCTCTTCATAGCATATCAAAGGAGCATCTCATTCTTGCATGCATTAACCATGTTTCAGCAGGTTTTTGGGCTTTATTTGGCATGTCATACCTTTGAATTTTGCTGGTTTAGTGGCCTCTTGATTGCCTCACATGCTTGTAGTGCAAATCCTCTTTACTAGCTTACATTGCATGCTATTTTGGCCTTTGATTCTAGCACTTTTTGGCCATGCCTTAAACTTATTTTGTGCATGTTTCGGACTACCTTAGCTCTATTTTTGGGTCTCATGGTCAAATGATGTTTGCTATGCATGGTTGTAATTCAATACCCTTGCCTAGCTTTGTGTTTTGAAGCCTATTGCAAGCGTATTTTGATGTGTTTTCATGTTTTGGCATCATTGTGAATCATATTTTAGAGCTTATATGTATGCCATATTCCCATGTTTTCCACTCTTTAAATGTGTTTGAGAGTTGTGCATGAATACCTCATTTTTGGACCATTGCATGAGCTTCATTTCCATGTTTTGCGAGCTATCATTTTAGTCCATATTTGCTACTATTTTGGCCTACACAGGGACTGTTTAGGGCTAGTTTAGCCATTTGAGTATTGCTTTGCATGCCTATAGTGTAATCCACTTCACTAGTTTCGGTATTTGGGCCATCTAGCATGCATTGTGTGAGGTGTTTGCATGATTCGGGACCATCTGTCATGTCATTTAAGAGCTGGAAAATATGTGATTGTATGCCATATTTCATGTTTACCATGCTTTGGTAGAGTTGCACTTTGTTCCTTAGGTTTGGTCCCTTGCATTTGTGCATGTTTGCATGTATCTTGTTGCCTCATTTTCATCATATTGGCCACTGATTTGAGTGTGGCTGAGGCCCATTCATTTTAGTTTAAGTCCATCTTGTATTATGTATGCCATATCCATGTTGTTGCATGCTTGATCGTCGCATTATGTATGCCTTGTTCTTATCTTCGTGCATGTCCATCTTCGTATGTGCATTGCGTATGCCATATAGTTCATGTGCATTGAGCATGCCATTCTTAGTTCATAGCATTGTGTATGCTAGTTGCATGTTTACATATCATCCCTCACATGCTAGCATGATTAGGTTGCATTGCGTTTAAGGTTGCATGCTAGTCGTATTGTGTATACCATGCATATTGCATTGTGTTTGTAATAGGGTTTAGTCCAAACACGGGAAACGAGGGACGTTTCGTACTCCAAGTGATGAAACGTGCCTCGATTCTCGATCGCCGACACTCCGGATTACTCATGATGGAGTTTAGGCCTTATTGTGTTTATATGTGCATTCTTTTTACATCGAGTCGTGCAATCTGACTCCTCGGCCATCATGCATCGAGATGCGTAATTGGTGGTATAAGGATCAAGGACTACACTCCCTAGAGCTTATGCAATGACGGGGAGAGTGGTCCTGCACACATGTGTTGCAAATACCTTGCTTTCTCTCTCTCTTGCCTTTGTTGCAGAAAATACAGAAACCATGAGAAGAAACTGGTCGGCCAACCGGGTTTTCTGGCAGGCCGACCACTTCTGCTGGTTTTTCTCACAAAAAGCTGGTCGGTGGGTGGTCTCCAAAGTCCATGGCTGGTCGGTGGCCTTCCCCTAGATTCCCGGGGTGGAGTTTCATCTCCTTGGAGCTTTGTGCAGTGTTTTGAGGTCAATTGCAAACAAAGACAAGTCGAGATGTCGCGAGGGATTTCCGAACAAGGAAACTCGAGCATGCAAGCATCCTTTATCATTCGAGGCAGAGCCGAGGCAGTCCACATTCATGTAGTTTGCATGCTAGTTTAATTGCTTACCTAGTTAGTTTGTTAATTAATTAGAGTTATGTAATAATTAGCTGTAATTTGTTATTTATTGCAGTTGTGTAATAATTAATTTAATTAGTTTAGCTTAGATTAGCTAGCTGGTTCTGTATTATTTATTCGGACCCTCCGAGAGAGGGCAATGTTGTAATAAGTGTGCGTGTGTGTGATGTATGTCTTCCAACCCCACATATTTCTTCCTTTTATTTACCGACTTATGATGGTTAGTTTAGGGCATGTTTAAATTAGCATACTTAGGCTCGCATGTTTGCATTCATCTGTCTTGCATGCACCGGGCTCGGCGCATCATACTAACTGCATCGTATTTCAATTCCAAGTTGAATACATGTTATCTGTAGCATTTCACATGCCATTTTAGAATAGCTGAGCCTATCTTAGTTGCATTTTTGCCTGTGTTGCATTAGCCATCTTAACATGAACTAGAATCGTGCATTGATTACTAACTTGTTTCTGTTTTGGCTTAGAGTACTCGGTAAGCTTTTATGCTTTAGCATCTTGCATGAGTGTGAGTGTTGCGATGATAGCATGCTTACCATGAGGCTAACTGGTTATGTGATATAACTGCCTAAATGCCTGTGGGTGAAGGTTGGGTTACTTGAATTGGAGCAATTCATCAAAATGAGAGTTTTAAGCCCACTTGCGAGTGGCAAAATCGTGTTTTCTAAGCCCACCTGAGGGTGGCAAATCCACATTTTAGGATACCTGCGGGTAGCACCTTCAAACCATTTTTAAACAAACATGAGATATTTTGTTCCAATTCAGGCGATCTAATCTATACTTGTATGTTGTGCGCATCATGTAGTAACTTCTAGGCTAATAATTAGAATAAGAACACATGTGTTTTCAAAAACAAGATATCATGTTTAGTAGTGGCCGATCTTTGATCGGGCGAGTGGGGGTGCTCATTGCATGACCTTCCCCAATCGTACCCAAGTTCCCGAGCCGAGGCAACTTTGGTGATGACGGACACGTGGCCTTAGGCACGAGTCAGGGTTTCCTAAATTTCCCAAAATAAAACATTTAGGTGGCGATTCTGTATCTAGCAAAGTAGTCCATGTTTGGCACTTATTTCTTAAAAATCTGTTTTCCAAAACGATTTGCCGGATTTGGACTCTTTGGTGATTTATCAATCTCACATTGCACTTTGCGAGGTTAGATTCAGAACCGTGACATTTGAGTCCGCTACTGTAGTAAGCCCAATATGAACAGAACGGGAGGATTTCCCCCCGGGACGTTCGGGACGTCTACAGCAGGCTGCATGGAAATGGGTTGGGGTTCCAGATCAAGGTCTACATATTTCTCCTGGGCTTCTTTTGTTTTCGGATCTCCACTGGTTTCCCCATGGTCTTGGTCCATTTGTACGCCTGCAAATCAATTACTCTTATAAGAGTGGGCCTTCTGCTTTAGTTTCCCTTGTTGAAATTTTCTTTTAGTGGTGACTAAAGTCCATGGCCCATAACCACAAGTCTTTGCCTCTATACAGACTTCCTTCTTCTTTGGCCCAGTGGGTTTTGATGTTCCTGTCCCATTATCAGTTTCTGATTGGCTAACGGTCACATTTTGTGTCGTCTTCTCCGGTTGCATCACCGGAAATTCAAAACACTTTTCTTTCCGATGACCGATACGGCCGCACGAAAAGCACAGCAGGTGTAGATGTTCATATTCTACAATGTAATGATATTTGCCAACGGTAAGATGGGATATGAGCGGTTTACGCAGGTCCATCTCAATACAGACTCGGGCATACTTCTCACGTGCTGCCATGGAAGTGTTAATATCAATCTTTAAAGGTTTACCAAGCGCCTTCGATATATGGTAAAGGACTTTTTCATCATAGTACTGAATAGGGAGATTAGGAAATCTAACCCAGATTGCGGTTGTGTCCTTCTCTGCTTCATCCGATTTAAAATCGGCCTGCCATTTACAAACTGTCACATACCGGTCCATCATTACCCATGGTCCTCCTATGTATACCTTGGAATAGTCCTCCATCATTTCAAATTTCACTATGAAAAAGCCATGTCCGATGTCTAGAGTTTCGAAATCTGCTTGAGGATTCCATAGCTTCCGCATACGATTCACAAATAGATTATATCCAATATTCTTGCCCAAGATTCTCACAATGAGGCACTTTTTCCATGGTTCTCTAACTTTTTTGAGAAGCCCAGCAGGTATTTTAATGACCGGATTTGAACTGGTCCCTTTGTACTTCGAATGGTCCTCTGCTTCCTCATCTTTTTCCATTTCCTCATCAGAAGAGAGATAGGCCTCCTCACAATCAAAATTTCGTTCTCTCTCATTCTCATTGAATCGAGATTTCAAGAGAGCTTGTTTGAAGGATTTATGGGCTCCCAAATTCAGTTCCTGTTCCTAAGCATTGGGGTCATTTTGAGCTGCTAATTCCTCCATCATTCTCTCGTATGGCTTCTCCAGTGAGTTATGTTGGTTCTTCAGCAGTTCCTCAACCGCCGTGTCCTTTTGTTTTACCTTTTTCTTGCTCCGATCAAGGTGTGGTTTGCAGCTTCAACGATCATATTTTAGAGAGAGAAATTCTGTTAGATGATTCAAATTAGCATTACGGACAGTGGAATTCCATGTCTTCTTAGTTGACTCCAAATCCAACTGAAATGTCTTATGAATATAGAAAAGTCCAACTAAATAGTAACTATTCTGCAAGAGTTCTTGAGTGTTAATTTATAAATTGAATAAATAATGGAAAAACAAATGAACCCCATGAATTTGGACATTAGACCATCAATTGAAGGCCTCAAACTTTCTTTTTTGTTTGCCTCTTTATTTTCCATCTTAATAATGTCCTGTGCAGTAGACAATAACTAAAACCCAGTTCAATACAGGCAGCCAGACCATAGTTTCATCTAGTGGCCGAACTATTTTTATCATGAGAAAATGGTGTAACCATAGTCAAAGATTCCCTTTTCTCTCTACTTTTTGCACATCTTTTCGTAAAAAAATCAAAAAGTCATCATAAATATACTAGTTTTTCTTACATCATATTTTAGCCAAAAAACTAAAACTCATGATTTTATATTGATTAATTGGAGAATATGAAGGAGTATGAAGTTTGTGATTGGCCTGAGACATAATCACATGGTGCCCTGAGGCTAATCAATAATTTTTTCCTTCGACCACCACCTTTAACAACTTACCAATCACCATTTTTAACCATTGACAATCATTTTTTGCCATTACACATGACTCGCCACCATCACTAGCACCTTCCACGACCACTCATTTTCACCTTCTTTTTTTAAAAATAAAATGTTAAAATGTTTGTGTACCAAATATGTTTTTTGTATTTATTTTTATTTAAAACAAACATAAACATATTTAATATTTTTTTTAAATTAAAAATAGTATATTGTAAATGTTATCAAATCACACCTTAATATAAAAATTTAGGGGAAAATTCAATTCAATATATACTTTAAGGAAAAAAACAAACAAACAAACGATAAAGTTTATACTCATTAATAATTAAAGTTAATTTTTTTTTTTTATAAATCTGTAATAATTTTTTGATAGTATCACTGTTAAAGTAATTTCTCCAAAAATTTATGTGTTAATATGTTTCGTCTAATGGCACGGCTAAGAGCATCATCAGCAACTTACTTATATTTTATCTTAAAATATTATTAAAAATTTAATTCCCTATTTTAGGAATCACTTTCTTCATCTACTGCTCCTTAACAAACTCTCTATTCTTTTTCTATTCTATTAAAATAATCTTTTTAATTGTTTTTAAATTTGATTTTTTTTTTATAATAAAATAATTAAACAGACACAAAAGAAAACAGAAGAAGAAAGAGCAACAGAAGCCAAGGGGGTGGTAGACCGACCTGACGTCCAGGTGGATGACTGGAGAAGCAAGTTTTGCCCAAATCACTTCATCTGGGACATCTGAATGGACAATCAATGTCACATATGAGGGAACTACAATGACTCCCTAGAAATAGGAAGTGATTGTAGCAATCCTAAATTTAAAGAGTTTGTATAAGGGATCGGTGAGGAAGGATTTTTGGGGAATTAAACCCTTAATTTAGCAAAAACCAATTATAAGAGATCTGTCGAGGATGCTCTAATGGCTATTTTGGTAACGTGACTCTCCTGTCCTAATTTAACCTTGCACTCATCTCTCTCATCATTTTCTCTTTTTGTTTCTTTAGACATTCACGTTGACTTTTTCATCATAGTACTGAATAGGGAGATTAGGAAATCTAACCCAGATTGCGGTTGTGTCCTTCTCTGCTTCATCCGATTTAAAATCGGCCTGCCATTTACAAACTGTCAAAAAACTTTTTTATATATGACTTTTCCATTTTAAATGTTTGAAATTGATTTTTTTAATAGTTTTTTGAATTTTTAAAAGTAAAACAGTTTGGGAAGTGACTAAAAAATTTAATTTTTTATAAATTTTTAAAAGTAAAACATTTTGGGAATTGACTAAAAATTTTTATTTTTTATAAATAAAAATAAGAATTATTATTATTTTAAATAAATTATAAATACATCCCTGAGATTTGTTTAAAATACAAATTGCCCCTTATGCTTTGAAAAATTATGAATACCCCCACTACAAGAAAATGCAGGAATGGCGACTAAAAAAATTATTTTCATCACTGAAAGTGCCATTTTCGGCGACTAAAATGGAATTAGTAGCCAAAAGTGACGACTTTTGGCGACTAAAACAATTTAGTAGCCAAATGTGTAGTTATTGGCGACTAAAAATCAATTTAGTCGCCGATTATATGGGTTTTACTGACTAAAGGTTTTTTAGAAGCCAAAAGTGACGATTTTTGGCGACTAAAATAATTTAATAGCCAAAAGTATAGGTTTTGGTGACTAAAAAACAGTTTGGTCGCCGATTATACGTAAATTTATCATTAAAAATTATTAATTGACTTGCTGATTGATAATAAAAGGAATTATTTGTTATGAAATTATAAACTTTAAAAAGTGAGATATAATTTTCAGAGTCACATAGTGTAATTCATATTTTAAATAAATTTTAAGTGTATTTATAATTTACCCATACTTATTTTGTCTATATTATGGCAACTTGTTTTGCCTTGGGAAGAGTGGTCAGATGGCACGAAACCGTTTAATAGATTTTAACTGTGAGCCGTAGGGGGTGTAAATTGTTTGATTTAGTTGGTATTGAGGGCATATTTAGTAGCGAATTAATCATTTTGATTTTTATAATTGAGAAATCGATTATACATGAGAAATTGATACAAATAATACGTTACGATTCTATTTTATCAATTTGATATAGAAGATAAATTTACATAAAATTTTAAAGAGTTTTATAGTAGATTATAAAATTTTACATTAAAAATAAATGAAAAAAAAATGAAAATTACTCTATAAATAATTTTCTTGCTAATTTTTATCATAAAAGTATATTAGTAAATTAATTACTTATCATGTTCAAGCAATTATGGATATAAAAAAATTTCAAACAAAAAAAAAACCCAAAATCGGAATTTCGGTTGGTTCGATCGGTCGGTTCGGTTAGTGAGCCGAGGGATTTGCTCTTGAAAGGTCTCCACACTCCTTTTCTCGCCAGTTTCTCGACAACCAAACGGAAAGGTATCTAATTTAAATCAAAATGTAGAGTGACAGAACAGAGATTATGCAAATCACAGAAATTGGAAGCTTCAATTCCTCAATTACGGTTTGCGATTCTTTTCTTGAACTCTCAAATTGAATCACAGAAATTGGAAGCTTCAATTCCTCAATTACGGTTTGCGATTCTTTTCTTGAACTCTCAAATTGAATGTTCATAATTGCTTATGACTGTGTTTACATTTATGTACGTATACGTGTATATATATAAACGATGTATATACTCTCTCTCTCTCTCTCTTAAAATTTCTGGTAAGCTGTTGTAGATATTGCTAACGAGCCTCAGTCATCATAGCTCTCCATTTAACTTGCATTTGAGCCCAATGTTGCTGATTTACACTGCTTTCATTGTCATTGAAGTAAAATTGTGGTGACATTGATTCTGACAGATAATTTTATCCATTGTTAAAACTTTCAAATGCATTTTGGTAAGAGAGAAAGAGAAGAGAGGAGAGAGAAAGGAAAGGGCTTTTAGTAATTTCATAGAATCTTTCCCCAAATTTTATAATTACCTTTTGCATCTTTCAATTGTGATTAGTTTTTATTCTGGTCTATTTGTAGTTCAAAAATGCCTTAGACCCCCAGTGGGGACACTGGGGGTCGTGTGTGTTGCCCTCCCATTGGCCAAAAAAAAAAATTGTTTTTTTTTTTTTTTTTTTTGATTTTCAGCGAATCATGACCCGCCACCTCACTGGGGGTCGACCCCCAGTGGGGGTATTTAGCATGGTTGATTTGTAGTTATTTTGTGAACTTTCCAATTATTGTAATTAGTTTTTATTCTGGTCTATTTGTAATTATTTTGTGAACTTTCCAATTATTAGTAATTTTTCTTTTCAAAAATTACAAAAAAAAAAAAAATTACATTGATCTCTCTCGAGTGATTCTATTTACCTTACAAAAATAACTCCTTACACCCCTTGTCTCCTTTTTTTTGGACTTGTGTAATTTTCATGCTATATTGTGTGTTTTACGACAATTCTGGTGATAGGTTTCTACTGTTTTGTGCAATTGGTGATGGGTAGATCAATGGATCTCCTAGTACTCATGCCTTGTTGTAACAACCTCGTTCTGTATTATGGTTTTAATTCTTTAATTGTGCATGTGCTTATGTGCTAAGTGTGAATTTGAGTGATAAATATGTCATTAATATGTTTTTGGCTTTATATTTGTTGATCGTAGGAAAATCTATTAAGAATTCTGCTTTGATTTAAAAATTGAAGGCCTTAATGGCGTCAGAAACCAAAATTGGTCAATTTAATGTGATTAACATAATTTTTAGAACCTATTTGATTAAGTTTTAATTAATTAAACTTAAACTTAATTAATCCCTTAATCCTTGATTAGTGATAATTATGCCAACTAGTATATATATATATATGTTATGATTAAGGAGTTGAGCTCAGTACTTCATTTTGGCTGAAATTTGTAAGTCTAGAGAGAGAGAGAGGGAGAGTTCATTGAGACAGAGAGAGAGGGGCTCAAACTTGGAGAATTTATTTGAAGCTTGTGGAATTGTGTGAAGTAACTCAAGAATTAGCTTGTGGAGGTGTAATTGATGACCTTAGGTAAGAGTTTGAACCATAATTCAAGAGTTTAAGCCATCAAATATGTGAATTCAAAGAGATTATGTGTTTAAATGAAAAAATTGAGCTAGAATGGTTAGAATCAAAGTCAATTCATACATGCATGCACAATTTGATAGAGTTTCATAAGTTTGAACATGATTCATGTCATCCATGTTTCGTTTTGAAGCTATCTTCTACATGCACATGAAATATGAAGTTTTAGAACTTAATTCCATGAATTACAAGATTTTGAAAAGAAATTGCATGTTTTTGTAAACTTTGGAAAAGAATTGAAGTTTAATCGTACATGCATGATCATTTGAGTCGAATTCATGAAGTTTGGCCATGAGGCTTGAGAATTGGTCTTGAATTCATGTTTTTTTGAGGAGTTTTAAGTCTTTGAGAAGTGATTTACAAGCCATGCAAGAGTTTGTGTTTGAATTGCAAGCTTTGAAGCTCAACTCTATTCTGGAAATTCAAGAATTCTGTCTCATCACTCAAGTGAACAATTTGTCGCTCGAGCGCACAGGCATTTGCAGTTGGCTCAAGCGACCACCTTTTATGTTGCATTTTGGCTCGAGCGAACATTGAGCCTAGATTCAAACCATCCAGTACTTTTGCAGACCAAGTGGTCCACTCGACCAACCGATGTTCCGCTCGAGCGAAGTGTTTTGTTTCAGCAAATTTTGAAAAGACATTTTGAACAAATGTGCATTCTCATTCCATTCCGAGCATTCTTAGGCATGAATTGAACATCCTAAATGAATTAAAGGGTTAGAATGAAGTCTAAGAGAACTGAATAAGTTACAGAACAATTCGGTTGGACAATGTAATCCAACTCGTGTGTGTTATGATTGTGTAGGATCATTCGCAAGGACAAATCAACAATTAAACCACTGTGAGTAATATCTTAATAAAGATATTTTTTTAATTACTCTATTTTATGTATATCCTACTGTCGTAAACTTTCTGAAACTGTGAATTTGCAAAGGTGAATGAGTCTCTATCTGTCTGACCATTGTAATGGTATCTGTAAATGTAATCGATGTGACACGAATGTGTATGATGAACCCAAGGTCATTCTGTATATTTGAATTAGACCTAAGGTTGTTCCGTACATATGATAAGATGGACCCAAGGTCGTTTTGAACATCAGATAAGTCTGATTATCTGTTATGAGTTGACTGAATGGTCGTAATGTAGCTGTAAATGATTGGACCTAAGGTCATTCTGTCATGATATGATCAATTTCATTCTATACTACTGTTATACATTGGACTCGAGGTCGTTCTGCTATCTGTTGGACCTAAGGCCATTCTGTTACGTATTGCTCATGATATAAATATAAATGCTTATGTCATTTACTAGAACTCATTCACATAAACCCTTTACTCTAATGTTATTCACTGGGCTTTCGCTTATTTCGTTATATTATATGTATGCAGGTGAGCAGCGAGATGTTCAGCCCCAACCGTAGTGAACCTGTTGAGGAAACTAAGTTTTGATGAGTCTGTTATGAGCGCCTCACGAGCGAGGCTTTTGTTCTTTTGTCTTTCACTTTTTCTGTTTCCTTTTGTTGGTTAAGCTCGATCACTTCTGCATACAAGTTTGGTATTTGTATGTTATGAAGATCTTGGACATATGGAATCTTATTATGATTTGTATGAGTGTGAGTTATTAATATATGAGAAGTTCTCTTTATGCCATTTATGCACAGCTCATTGGACAAAATTTTATATTTCTACTTCCGCTTCTGGCCCCTTATTATTAAATATGTCTGTATTCTGTCTGAGGCTGTAGGTAATCTCATGATTACTGGCTGGTTATGATCCTAACTTGTAGGGATGGGTTTGGGTCGTGACACTTGTAACCCATAATCTTCAGTCAATGTTAATGGATTGGTTTTATGGTTTTATTTGGTAAATTGGGTTTTCAATTCTTTGATGCTTTGTATACAATTGAGTGGCTTTAGATTGTTGTGTGATTGGCTTTTGGGAGAAGCTTTCTTTTTTTCCATTTTTATGCCTATTGTTAGTTTAGTACAAGGTAGTGGAGAAAGAGATCAGATAGAACACAAGAGGGAATTTGTTACTAGGGTCAAAAATGGTATTTTAAAATTTTCAATGATTGACATCAACCCTATTTGTTAGTTGACCTAACAATTGACTGATAGAGGGAGGACATTGTAAAGTGACTGGAAACCACAAGAAGGGTGATGTAATTTCCAGAACGACAGGGGTACTAATATATTAGTTAGATACCTCAGGGGAGGTTAGCTTAATTTACCCTATCCATAAGAGACTTCTACTACTTATCTCTCTCTCTCTCTCTCTCTCTCTCTCTCTCTATCTCTCTTAACATAGAAGGTGAAGAAATTCAGTGAAATACTCTTGTCCAAATTGAAGTTGCACATGATGAGATGTCCAAACATCTATGGTAACGAAGAAGTTGGCGGTGATAACAAATGAACATGTTATTTTCCTTTAGTAGTATGCAAATGGAGTTCAATGGAGAAGCTACACTATTCCCATGTGTTAGGTTTTTATTCTTGGCAATCACATTTAACAAAACTCTTTTCAGTTGTACTTGTATTCGCACTTTTATTTCAGTGAGGTTATGAGTACTTAGATGCGAATCCAACCCGAATTGCGCCTTGCAGAGAAGTTTCAGAAGATAATTCTTTCATGTTTGCCACTTCACTAACTATGATGGGGATCGAGCTACCTGGTCAGCTCGCAGGGGTCCAGGGGGCAACGCCCTTTGGCAGGTCCGGGGCAACACCACGGCGGGGTTGAAGGGCAACGCCCCCGAAGCAAAATGCAAAAATGCATTCAAAATTGCTTGTCTACTCGAGCGAAGAATGTATGGTTCCAGAAGTTTGATTGCCTGCAAAATACTGGGTTTTGTTTTTTTCCGCTCGAGTAGAATTTCCTACGCTCTAGCATCTGTCCGCTCAAGCGGCCATTCTGGCGCTCCAACGGAGATTGCGGAACAGATTGCTATAAATATGTGTTTCAATCAGATTTTAGGGTGACGCCTCCAGATCTTCTTCTTAGATATTAGGGTTTATATCTAGAACTATTTTGCTAGTTTTCTTTGATGTTTGATTGAGTATTCAACTCATAGTTTAAGAAATATACATCAAAGGATTGTTTGTTTATTCTATACAAAAGAGAGAGTTGTTCTTCGGTGGATTCTGGAGAATTCGAGCTTGAAGCTTTGGTGGATTCTGGAGTGGTTCATCGTCGTGATTCAACATCGGCGTTGTGGATTCAACATTGGGCAAGACAATTCCGAGGTGAAGACGGGACTAGAAGAGGCACATAGGGGTTAGTTCAATTTGGGCATGGATTCACTAGGTAATTGAGAGTATACCTGTGTAATTCATTTATGTCTTTTTAGTGGATTGTTTTGTGGCTTTTGCCAGTGGTTTTTTATCACAATTGGAGGCGCTCCAATTGTGATTTTTCCACGTAAAATCTTTGTGTTGATTTGTCTTTGATTGTTTGATTGGGATTGCTATTTACTGATTAAAATTGATACATAATCACAAATCAATATCTAGGAGATTTCTATATTTTTCACCATAAGAGTGGTCGGATTGGTTCGCATTTTATTTACTAGATTGCTTGCCCTATCTTATGAAATTTCAAATTCATTACTTTCCTCAAAATGTCCAGATCGACTGCGAAATTGATCATCTAAATTTACACTCTGTTTGGATTGAGAGATGAGAACATAAAAGAAATGATTAGAGCTTCTCACCTAGGTGAGAACGAAAAGAAATGATTGTGGTTTTTCACCTTCTTGTTTGAATGGACTGTCACTCCGTTTGGATGGAGTGGTTTGGTGAGAAAAGAAAAGAAATGGTGAAAATAGGAAACCCATTCACTTGTTTGGATGGTTAAGTAGGTGAGAAATGGTAAGAAATGATTAGAGATGACAAGAAAAGGATTCTCACCAAACTTATGTTTTGTTTCTCACCAAAAGTGGTGAGATTTGGTGAGAAATGAATTGGGTTTAATGAAAGTTTTCTAAAATACCAAAATTACCCTTATAAAAAAACATAACTTATTAATATGATTTCGGTTAAATGAAATACAACACTTTGTTGTTTTTTCTCTCACTTACTTTATCCAAACAAGATAGGTGAGAAACCAAATTCTCTTCTCTTTTATTCATTCTCCCCAAATCTCACCACTTTTGGTGAGAAACAAAACTTAAGTTTGGTGTGATTTGGGTTTCTCACCATCTCTCTTCATTTCTCATCATTACTCACCTTATTAATCATCCAAACAAGTGATGAGAAATCTCATTTTCTCTATTTCTTTTCTTTTCTTTTCTCACCAAACCCCTCAATCCAAATGGAGTGCCAATTTGGTTTAGACTATTCTGACGATCATGACTGACTGTTCATACTCCATGGGATTCCATTACCACTAATTGAAACGAAAGTTTTTGAAGGCTCCCAAAAAGAAAAAGAAAAAAAACTGTCTGCTCTCCAATTTGATGTCTAATAGAGAGAGTTTGTTGTGCTGATAACAGTATCAATTTTTGTTATCTGTATGCTTATCCTATAGATATAATAATAATAATAATAATAATAATAATAATAAATAAAAATAAAGAAAGAATAAAAAATAAAAAAAAAAGGCAACAGAAGATGAAAATGACAATTTCTAAAGTTGGCATTGAGACGGATGACTTGATGTGTTTGAAACTTCTTCAGTTTCAGTGATAACAGCTCCGTCATGCCCCATCAGAGAAGATATCATGCCATTGACCCAATCAAAAACGGACACATAATGGTCCATGAATTTTATTTTCAAAGATTCCCAATATCTGGTTGTTCCAAGTTCCAGTTGGAAGGTACATTTAGAATTTAAGGTAAGATGCTTTTCTAAATATTGAACCAATGAGGGGAAAAGGAAGACTTATTGCAAATAATGACCCAGTGAGGGGGAAAAGAAGACTTACTGCAAATAATGAGCCAATGAGAGGGAAAGGAAGATGATTCAAATTAGCATTAACTGACTGTGGAATTCCTTGTCTTCTTAGTTGACTCCAAGTCCAACTGAAATGTATTAAATATAGAAAAGTCCAACTAAATAGTAACTGTGCTGCAAGAGTTCCTGAGTGTTAATTTATAAATTGAATAAATAATGGAAAAACAGATGAACTCCATGAATTTGGACGTTAGACCATCAATGGAAGGCCTCAAACTTTCTTTTTTGTTTGCCTCTTTAGTTTCCATCTTAATAATGTCCAGTGCAGTAGACATAATAACTAAAACCCAGTTCATTGTAGGTAGCTAGACCATAGTTTCATCTGGTGGGAGCTTTGAGATGGGATTTTTCAGCCTGGGCAATTCCCAGAATCATTACTTGGGAATATGGTACAAGAAATTATCTTCTAGGACTGTTGTATGGGTTGCCAACAGAGAAATCCCACTCATTGATTCATCAGGTGTCTTGAAGGTAATTGACCCAGGAATTCTGGCCCTTCTCAATGGTACCGACAGTGTCATTTGGTCTGCCAATGTGACAAGATCCACAGTATAGGATCCTGTTGGTCAACTTTTAGAGTCGGGAAACCTTGTTGTGAAAGATGCCAATGATGATAACCCAGAGCATTTTCTCTGGCAAAGTTTTGATCATCCATGTGATACTCTTTTACTAGGCATGAAACTTGGAAAAAACTTTGTAAGTGGCTTAGAGCGGCACCTTTCATCATGGAAGAGCTCTGATGATCCAGGTCAAGGTGATTTTGCATTTTGGTGTGATCCCCAAGAATATCCACAACTTATTCTGAGCAATGGTTCCATTGAGCTGTTCTGGACTGGACCATGGAATGGTCTTGGATTTAGTGGGAATCCAAACCTTAAACCAAATTCCATCTACACATATGGATTGGTTTTCACCAAGGAGGAGGTGTATTACGGTTATGATCTCGTTAACAGCTCAGTTGTTTCAAGGTTTGCTCTAAGTCATGATGGCATTATGCAGCGCTCGACATGGATTGATCGAACCCAGGAATGGGTCCTTTACCTGACTGCACCGATAGATAATTGTGATTATTATAAACCATGTGGTCCATATGGTAGCTGTAACGTTGGAAACTCGCCTGTATGTGGTTGTTTGAGTAACTTTGTGCCTAAATACCCAAAGGAATGGGAAAGCGGAGACTGGTCTAATGGGTGTGTTCGGAGGACACTACTGGATTGCCATAAAGGAGATGGATTTCTCAAGTATTCACATTATAAAATGCTAGACACAAAGTATTCCTGGTTTGACAAGAACATGACCATGAGGGAATGCTAGATACAATGCTTGAAAAACTGCTCTTGTATGGCTTACACAAATTTAGACACAAGAGGAGGTGGAAGTGGCTGCTTGCTTTGGTTTGATGAATTGATTGATATGAGAGAGTTCAGTGAAAATGGGCAAGACATTTACATAAGGATGGCTTCCTCTGAGTTAGGTAAGAAATTCCTACCAAATTCATAGATTAGTGATTTTACATTATAACTAAAAGATTTATGCTCTTTTTGACTGCCAAACATATAGATTAGTGGTTTTACAAACATACAAGTGATGATGATTATAAAAATTTGATTTCGTTCAAGGACAAAATGTATGTATGGTTCTTAAAGTATGTCCTTTATATCATTTGAATCTTTTAAGTTCCATTTATGTCAAAAGATGGAAAGGGGTTGGAATATATCGGACCCAATAGTTTCAATAATCGCATGAATTGTAACTTGTTAATTGAATTATGGTATAATTGTGAGCAAATGACCATCGATGGTTCAACAAAAGGCCCACTGGCAAACCAAGGTGAGATGGCTTATCCAATGGACAATATTGGTATTAATACTGCTGGTCTTCTGTTGAAAGTGAGAGCCCAAAGTTCAGGTTTGGTTAATTACTTTATGCAAATCCATTGGTAGCTTTGGGAATTTCAATGAAGGATTTTGAACCATGTTTTGCCTCTTTTATTTTATTTTTGGTTCAACTAGATATAAGTTGCAACACGAGCCAACAAGAAACCAATCAATCATTCTTGTCCTCGGGTCCTTTGGTTCTTTAGTATTTCAAGCTGTCCAAAACTCCAAAATTGAAAGATGAATAATGTATTTACATTGCTTTTGGGCAATTTGTTGGTGTCACCCTTATAAAGTTCATTCAGCAACAGTTGGGAGAACACTTCATAGGGGAAAATCTAGAATCAGAGGCAGTGATACAGTTCTATTCTTCAAATTTGCCATCGGTTTAACTATAAAGGGTATTAATTAAAGTAAATTAGGCCTGAAAACTTTCCCACAAAGAATTTGTAAAATCAAGAGCCAGTAACTACGACTTGGCCACTTGCAGAGCCCCTGGTACTTTGGAAAGATTGATAACCTCTTATACCGAGATGTATAGTAAAGCTAATAAATAAAGGGCTGATTTCTCCTTCAGATGGAGCTTCCTTTATTACCAATCACAGTGATGAGTAACTGTATTACAGAATCTACTAAGGACTGGCTTAACCTCATTATGTTACTAGGCCTTGGTTGTGAATGTATTTTATTACTTATTTTCTAATTATATATATAGCAATTGACATTATACATATGTTTGTGCTCTCATGGTTGTATTACCTGAATGAATTGACCATTACTTTAAATGGATTGAAGATTCAACAGTCCGACGAGTTGGCTTCAGTGTCAAGAAAAGAGAGATAGTTGGAGTGACCTTGGCATTATTATTTGGACTTCTTCTGCTGGGCATGAGCCTAACCTTGTGTCTCCAAAAGAAGAAGAAGAATTCACAGCTGAACAGAGAAGGTATCTGAGACTTGTTTGTTCTGTGCTAAACTTTTGTGCCTTAGTCTTAATTTAAAAAGAGAAAAGAAAAGAAATGCTCACTCATGTGTATATATATATTCTATAATTATGTGTTGATGTGTTCATCCGTGTAATGGTATATTACTTTGTTAGATCTACTTGTCTCATTTACATCCACTTCATCCCCGCTTTACAAGAATTCTAATGCACAACTCTGAACAAGGTTACAATGACAAAAGCCAGAACGAAGATCTAAAGTTACCATTGTTTGACTTGGCTGTAATAGCTAATTCCACAAATAACTTTTCAATCGACAACAAGCTTGGAGAGGGTGGATTCAGACCTGTTTACAAGGTAACAATGTAAAGACACACTTGTGCTATCCATAACGATTTAATGGATTTAGAACTACTTGATGGTGTATATAGTTATTTGAGATCCTTTTACCTGATTCTACTTATACAATGATCCTAATATAGTATATGTGCATGTGTTATCTTTTATTCAATCCTACTGTCACGACCCCAACCTGCCCCAACCAGGATAGGGTGAGGTGACTGACCAGTAGTCACGGACTACCAAAGGCCAGGCTTACAAAACAAGCTGGACTCTTAGCCATCCATTGCATTTTTTTTGGACCATTCTATATTCCTAGCATTACTCGAAAAGAAAATCTGAATCTTGTGCAATATGTTTGCATACTGGTTAGTGATCCAAAGAAGAATAACTCACCTCAAATAAGCCAAATGTAGCTGCTTCTCATTTTATCAATTTTCGTCATCATTTGCACTGCTTGCTCTAGTGGCAATTATCAGATTCCTCTCTCTCTCTCTCTCTCTCTCCATAGATCCACTTATAAATTACTGTACATACATATATCAATATCATTACCTATATATATGTAAAGTTTCACTTTCTTCTTGGTAATTGTACTGACTTTCAAGAATTGCACAGCTTCTAGACTCGTGTTCTGCAGTCACTGACAGTGAGTCTCGTCTCTACTATGCCCATTGTCTCACAATGAGCAACCATTATTCATTCTGCACCAGAGGCCAAGCTATAATAACCATGTTTATTGTAAGCTTCCTTAGCTTTGTCTCCTTTTCCTTTGACTGGTATAAGTTTCTTATTATATTGTGTGTTTTACAACAATTCTTGTAATGGGTTTTTGCTGTTTTGTGCAATTGGTGACGGGTACATCAATGGGTTGTCCTTCAAGTTCTCATGGCTTGTAACCCATAATCATCAGTCAGTGTTAATGGATTGGTTTTATGGTTTTATTTGGTAAATTTGAATTTCAAGTCTTTGATTCTTTGTATAAAAATGAGTGGCTTTAGATTCTTGTGTGATTAGCTTTTGGGAGAAGCATTCCTTTCTTCCACTTTTATGCCTATCGTTAGTTTGGTTCAAGGCCATGGAGAGACAGATCAGAGAGAACAAATGAGGGAAATTGTTACTAGGGTTAAAAATGGTATTTTAAAATTTTCCATAGTTGACATCAACCCTATCTGTTAGTTGACCTAACAGGTGACTGATAGTGGGTGGAAATTATGTGATTAGAAACCATAGGGAGGGGGATGCAATTTCCAGAACAACAGGGGTACTAACTAATGTATTAGTTAGAAACCTCAAGGGAGGTCAGTTTAATTTACCCTATCCATCATAGACTTCAAAACTTCTCTCTTTCTCTCTCTCTCTGTCTCTCTCATTTTATGGTGAAGGGAAAATAATAAGCCCACTGTATTACATGAGCGAGCCACATAGAAGGTGAAGAAAATTAGTGAAATACTCTTGGTGGAATACTTATACCAAGCCTCTTTCAAAATTTTGGTTTGTTAAATCAATAGAATCAAATGATGTTCCGTTTTATCTCATACATAAGCCCCTAATTGAAGCTGCACATGATGAGATGTCCAAACATCTGTGGTAATGAAAAAGTTGGCAGTGCACTGATAACAAACTCTGAACAAAAGGGAAGGTTGGGCAATTGGTGGACTTATTGGGTTTCCTATGTAGGGTGTTGGGTGGGGGATGATGTTTTGGTATGGGGAGGGGGGGTTGCGGTTTGTTGGGTTGGGTTCAAAAGGGGCTTTTTTGGTAATCATCTTACTATTGGGTTTTGTGGGGGTGTGTGGAGGAGGCGTTCCCTTGACGACATGTTTGGGTGATAGTTGTTCCTTTAAAGGTGATTTTGTTTTTGTTTTTTTTTTGTTTTTTTTTTTGTGGTTTGGCAGGATCCTTACTATTGATAATTTGGTGCACCGTCATCATATTCAAGTCAATTGGTGTTTTTTTGTTGTGGTAACGCGAAGTCTGTGGATCATTTGTTTATTTATTGTCCGGCAGCATCTCGGCTGTGCTGCTTATTTTTTCTACTTTTGGTGTTGTGTGGGTCCAGCAAAAGGGGGTACTGGAGGTTCTCTTTATCTGGGGAGGGGGTCTGGTTGGGAAGCAACATAAGAAGGCTTGGGCGTAGGCTTTGGCCCCTTTGTGCTTAATGTGATTGGTTTGGTTAGAGTGAAATCGATGTACCTTTCAGGAGGTTGCTCGTTAATTATCATGGTTAGAGAACAAGTTGTTTGAGGTTCTGTATAGTTGGGTGTTGGGGAGGGTGAACCTGGATTTGCTTGCTTTCGTGGATTTTGTAGATTATTTGATTTGTTAGGTGTTTCCCTTTTTTGGGGGGTCTTTCTTTTGTATTTTTAGCATCTTCTTGATGCTCTTGGTAATAAATCTTATTTGTCAAAAAAAAAAAAAAACCTCTGTACATGTTATTTTCCTCTAGTAGTATGTATGGAGTTGTTCACTGGAGAAGCTTCGCTACTCCCATGCTAGACTATGAAAGAGTGGTTGGACTGGACTGCATTCTTTAATAGAATTCCTATTTACTAGATTGCTTGCCCTTGTCAATGGTACCGGCAATGTCATTTGTTCTCCCAATGTGACAAGATCCACACAGGACCCTGTTGCACAACTTATGGAGTCAGGAAATCTTGTTGTCAAAGATGTGAATGATAATATTTTGTGGCAAAGCTTTGATTCTGTGTGATACTAACAGCCCAAGAGTGGCACCTCTCTTCATGGAAGAGCAGTGATGATCCAGCTCAAGGTGATTTTTCCTTTTGGTGTGATCCCCAAGGTTATCCACAACTTATTCTGAGAAATGGTTCCATTGAGCTGCATCGATCTAGACCATGGAATGGTCTCGGATTCAATGGGAGACCAAACCTTAAACCAAATTCCATCTACAAATATGGATTAGTTTTCACTGAGGAGGAGGTGTATTATGGTTATGAACTCATTAACAACTCAGTTGTTTCAAGGTTTGCTCTGAGTCATAATGGCATTGTGCAGCGCTTCACATGGATTGATCGAACCCAAGAATGGGTCCCTTACCTGAGTACACCAACAAATAATTGTGATTATTATAAACGGTGTGGTTCATATTGTAGCTGTAACGTTGAAAACATACCAGTATGCGGTTCTTTGAGTAACTTTGTGCCCAAATATCCAAAGGAATGGGAAAATGGAGATTGATCTGATGGGTGTGTTCGGAGGACACCATTGGATTTCCATAACGGAGATAGATTTCTCAAGTATTCACATTATAAAATGCCAGACACAAGATATTCCTAGTTTAACAAGAGCATGACCTTAAGGGAATGCGAGATGGTATGCTTGAAAAACTGCTCTTGTACGGCTTACACAAATTTAGACATAAGAGGAGGTGGAAGTGGCTGCTTACTTTGGTTTGATGAATTGATTGACATGAGTGAGTTCAGTGAAAATGGGCAAGACATATACATAACGATGGCTTCCTCTGAGTTGGGTAAGAATTCATACCAAACACATAGATTAGTGGTTTTACATTATAACTAGATGACACTCTCTTTGACTGCCAAACACATACATTAGTGATTTTACAGGCATACAAATGATGATGCTTCTAAAATTTGATTATATTTTAGGACAAAATATATGCATGGTTCTTTTAGTATGCGTTTTATGTCATTTTAATCTTTTAAGTTTCATTTTTATCAAAAGAGGCAAAAATGGGTCGGAATCTATCAAACCCTATAGTTTCAAGAATCGCATGAATCGTAAAATGTGAATCAAATTGTGAATCATGCGATTCATCGTCAATTCTATCCCAAAATAGGTTCATGCACCTTTCAAGCACTACCTTCACTGCCAAGTGCCAGAGCTTTTGGCTACCACATATACAGAATATATCAAGACTCTCTATTGCAATCCCCACTAGAGGAGCAATTATTTGGTGCACTAGGAACACCACTTGGCCATGTGCCCATCTAATAATAGCGAGGCATGCAACCGTTATTAAGGAAAAGTAGAGGCAGTGATGTGATGTGGTCCATTGTGAAAATTATGATGGCCTTATTTGTTATTGTATTTTTTGTGTGAGGATTATTTTGGTAATTTTGCATTTTAAGGTTTTGAAGACTTTATAAATATGGCTCAATTAGGTCAGTTGAGACAAGGTCAATATGTGAGTAACCCTTGGGTTTATTAGAGTTGTGGCTCCATGTGTCCTTCCCCTTTCTTTCCCCTTGTGCTTGTAGATTCAAGCCCCTTGGTGGACTCCAGGGTTTCCCCCTTTTTCTTTCTCTCCTCTATTCTCCTTGTGAATTCAAGGCCCCTAGTGGACTTCTTCAGTTTGTCCCCTCTTATGTCTCTTCATCCCTGACATTTTGTACTCAACATCCTATCTCAAATTTTGTGTCCTACTCTCATTTGTTGTCCATATATAGCTTTTGTGTCAAATATTTCCTCTGTTAACATTCATAACCATTTTTAGGATGCTCTTGCTACCTCTAAGTGGAAACTTGCCATGATTGAGGAAATGAAATCGCTTAGGAAGAATGGCACTTGGGAATTGATTGAGTTACGTAAGGGCAAACAACCTGTCGGATGCAAATAGGTGTATACTGTGAAACACAAAGCGGATGGTTCTATTGAGCGTTACAAGGCTAGACTTATGGCAAAAGGGTTCACTCAGACATATGGCGTTGACTATCAGGAGACCTTTGCACACGTGGCTAAGATGAATTCAGTTAGAGTACTTCTCTCTGTAACAGCTAATCTAGATTGGCCACTTCATCAGTTTGATGTAAAGAATGCCTTTCTTCATGGTGACTTAGAAGAAGAGGTATATATGGACATTCTTCCTGGTTTTGAGGATCATCAGACAGAGGGTAAAGTATGCCCACTTCAGAAATCATTATATGTTCTTAAATAGTCTCCAAGGGCTTCGTTTGAGAAATTCAATCAGACAATGCTTAAATATGGCTTTAAACAAAGTCAGGAAGATCGCCTTGTTTATGAAACATTCGTCACGTGGTAAGACTACAGCGCTCATTGTTTATGTGGATGTAATAGTTCTTACAGGTGATGATATTGAGGAAATACCTATGTTGAAGAAATACTTAGCAAGTGAGTTTAAAATCAAAGACTTGGGGAGCTTGAAATATTTTCTGGGAATTGAAGTTACTTGTTCAAAGGATGGGATATTTATCTCATAGAGGACGTATGTGCTTGACTTGTTGAAGGAAACAGAGATGCTTGGCTGTAAGGCCTGTGACACTCCACTAGAATCCAATAAGAAACTAGGGAATAATGAAGGAGGAGTAGCTGTTGATAGGGGAAGCTATCAACGATTAGTGGGTAAGCTCATCCACCTATCTCACTCCCGTCTTGATATTGTTGTTACTGTTAGTGTGGTTAGCTAGTTTATGCATGGTCCTCATCAGATTCACTTTGAGGCTATCATAAGAATTTTGATGTACATGAGGTCTACTGCTAGTAAGGGTCTTTATTTTTCAAAGCATGATCATCTTCGTATGGAAGCCTATACAGAAGTTGACTGGGCTGGATCACTAACTGATTGGACATCGACTTTAGGGTATTGCACCTTTGTTGGTGGCAACCTAGTTACTTGGAGGAGTAAGAAACAGAATATGGTTGTCAGTTCGAGTGCAGAAGCTGAGTTTAGAGCTATGGCACAAGGGGTATGTGAGCTCTTATGGATCAAGTTACTGTTGAGTGATCTAGGTATTGATCAGATGGACTCCATGTGGTTATACTGTGATAATAAGGCCACCATCAGCATCGCTCACAATCCAATTCAACATGACAGGACAAAGCATGTAGAGATTGATCGCCACTTCATTAAGGAGAAACTCACTAGCGGCACAATATGTACTCCATTTATGCAGTCTGGTGAACAACTCGCTGACATCCTCACCAAGGGAGTTGGGAGTAAGCCATTGCATGACATCCTAGGCAAGCTAGGCATGAGAGATATTTTCACACTCGCTTGAGGGGAAGTGTTAGAATAGTTAATTATTAGTTGGGTTATTATTCAATTGTAATTATTCTATGACTTTGGGCACCCTTGTAATTATTAATCTTCATTAATATATAAAGGGGATGATATCACAATCATTCCCTAATCTTGGTATTCTCTAAAATTATCAAGATATCTTCACACCAGTTTGAGGGTGAGTGTTAGAATAAGGGAGAATTTCGAAACAATGGGATAGACAAAAAAATTACAAAAACATGTAGGGTGCAAGTGGCTTTGTGATGGGGTGTAAGCGAAAGGTTGTGGGGGTGCAAGTGTGACTTGCACACTTCCATGTTTGTGTAAATTTTTTTTTTCTCCCATTGGGATGTAATTCCCCCTTAGAATAATATCTTAGGTATTATGTATTGCTTATTCTATTTAGCTATCATTAGCTGTTATTTTCTTATTATGTATTTTTCCTTATTTGTGCCTCAAGGCTTCCGTTGTGAGCTGCATATTATCAACATAAAAACGGAATGATAGTCTCATCATTGCCTAAATTTTTTTTCTACTAACAAACAGATGTGTTTAAAACTTCTTCAATTTCAGTGATAACAGCTTTGTCATGCCCCATCAGAGAAGACATCAAGGCATTTACCCAAAAAAAATGGACAACCAAAAGAAGGGGACAAAATTATGTTGGTCCATGAATTTATTATCAAAGATTCCCAATATCTGGTTGTTCCAAGTTCCCACTGAAAGGTACATTTAAAATTTAGAAAGTATTCTTTTCTAATGCTTTTCTAAATAATGCCCCAACGAGGGGGGAAGGAAGACTTATTGCAATGAATGACCCAGCGTGGGAAAAGGAAGACTTACTCCAAATAATGTCTGTGGAATTAGCATTGACTGGCCATGGAATTCCATGTCTTCTTTATTGACTCCAAGTCCAACTGAGGAATCACTGTGCTGCAAGAGTTCCTGAGTGTTAATTTATAAATTGATTAAATAATGGAAAAACAGATGAACTCCATGAATTTGGACATTAGACCATCAATGGAAGGCCTCAAACTTTTTTTTTTGTTTGCCTCTTTATTTTCCATCTTAATAATGTCCAGTGCAGTAGACATAATAACTAAAACCCAGTTCATTACAGGCAGCCAGACCATAGTTTTATTTGGTGGGAGCTTTGAGATGGGATTTTTCAGCCCGGACAATTCCCAGAATCAATACTTGGGAATATGGTACAAGAAAATATCTTCTAGGACAGTTGTATGGGTTGCCAACAGAGAAATCCCACTCATCGATTCATCAGGTGTCTTGAAGGTAATCGACCCTGGAATTATGGCCCTTCTCAATGGTACCGGCAATGTGATTTGGTCTGCCAATGTGACAAGATCCACAGTACAGGATCCTATTGGTCAACTTTTAGAGTCAGGAAATCTTGTTGTGAAAGATGCCAATGATGACAACCCAGAGCATTTTCTCTGGTAAAGTTTTGATCATCCATGTGATACTCTTTTACCAGGCATGAAACTTGGAAAAACCTTTGTAAGTGGCCTAGAGTGGCACCTTTCATCATGGAAGAGCTCTGATGATCCAGGTCAAGGTGATTTTGCATTTTGGTGTGATCCCCAAGGATATCCGCAACTTATTCTGAGCAATGGTTCCATTGAGCTGTACCGAACTGGGCCATGGAATGGTCTCGGATTCAGTGGAAGATCAAACCTTAAACCAAATTCCATCTACACATATGGATTGGTTTTCACCAAGGAGGAAGTGTTTTATGGTTTTGAACTCATTAACAACTCAGTTGTTTCAAGGTTTGCTCTGAGTCATAATGGCATTATGCAGCGCTTGACATGGATTGATCGAACCCAGGAATGGTCTTTTACCTGACTACACCGACAGATAATTGTGATTATTATGAACGGTGTGGTCCATATGGTAGCTGTAACATTGAAAACATACCAGTATGCGGTTGTTTGAGTAACTTTGTGCCCAAATATTTGAAGGAGTGGGAAAATGGAGATTGGTCTGATGGGTGTGTTCGGAGGACACCATTGGATTGCCATAATGGAGATGGATTTCTCAGGTATTCACATTATAACACAACATATTCCTGGTTTAACAAGAGCATGACCCTAAGGGAATGCGAGATGGTATGCCTGAAAAACTGCTCTTGTACGGCTTACACAAATTTAGACATTAGAGGAGGTGGAAGTGGCTGCTT